GAATTCCTCATATATATATATATATATATATATATATATATATATATATATATATATATATATATATATATATATATATATAGCTCTAATTGTGTAGCAATTTGAGCTGAAATTATCTTATATGTTTTTAATAAATAAAAGTAGCCTGCCTCTTATAAATATATCAATATATTATTTACAATTGAAATATACAATCAATTTTTTTCTCATAAACAGGAGAAACGTTCCTGCTGAAGCGACTGATCTCGATGTGACACACTATTATTATAAAGATGGCGTTTATTAAAGAGGAGAGTGAAGACCTGAAGATTGAAGAAACATTCACAGTGAAACATGAAAATCCGCAGGAACAAACAGGTGGGTTTTCACCTTCAAGGGTCAATTCATTTGATCACTATTAAAACCTTCAACTCTATATGAATCGGTTGTAGTTTTTATAAATGTCCAATAAGAACAGTTTTTATTAAACCTGATTGAAATTTGTAGACAGCCTGAACAAAAATATTACTTTGTGTCACAGATGGACAAGTGTGTAAATATATATATATATATATATATATATATATATATATATATATATATGCATACATACATACAGTTGAAGTCAGAATTATTAGCCCCCCTGTTTATTTTTTTCCTAATTTCTGTTTAATAGAGAGCAGATTTCTTCAACACATTTCTAATCATAATAGTTTTAATAACTCATCTCTAATAACTGAGTTATTTTATCTCTGTCATGATGACAGTAAATAATATTAGACTAGATATTCTTCAAGACACTTCTATACAGCTTAAAGTGACGTTTAAAGGCTTAACTAGGTTAATTAGGTTAACTAGACAGGTTAGGGTAATTAGGCAAGTTATTGTATAACGATGGTTTGTTCTGTATCTAAAAAATATAGCTCAAAGGGGCTAATCATTTGGACCTTAAAATGTTGTTTAAAAAAATAAAAACTGCTTTTATTCTAACCGAAATAAAACAAATAAGACTTTCTCCAGAAGAAAAATTATTATCAGACATACTGTGAAAATGTCCTCGCTTTGTTCAACATTATTTGGGAAATATTTAAAAAAAGGAAAAAAAATTCAAAGGGGGGCTAATATTTCTGACTTCAACTGTATATTCATACATACAACACAACATATTTACGTATTTTCCCCCGTGAGTGTGAATTGAATTATTCCCAATACTCTTAATTCCACTTTTTTTTCACTTGGTAGCGCAGCTTTCATTAGGGCCTGTTTAAAGCGCCATGAAACCCCTTTCTTTCAGTTCAAGGCTGCGTCCGAAACTGCATACTTCCTTACTGTACAGTACGCTAAAATCCGTATGCGAGTCGAGTAGTACGTCCGAATTCATAGAATTCGAAAATCAGTAGGCGAGAAGTACCCGGATGACTTACTTCTTCCGGCGAGATTCTGAAGTGCGCATCCCATGCATGCTGTGCTATCCCATAATGCCCCGTGAGAGAATTCATGAATGAAAGTGAGGCGACGCAACTCACGCAGGTAGGTCACGTGACCATGACAAAATGGCAGATGTAGTACGTCCAAATTCCATTCATACTTTTCACATTCATACTGAATAGGACGTACTTTTCTAACGGCCGAGTAGTACGTTTAAATTCAAATGCAGTACCTACTGAGTAGTAGGCGGTTTCAGACGCAGCCCAAGTCTACCTCAGAAAATGCTCTGAGATGGACATGGAGCTGCGGGCAGAGGGAGGAGTGAGCGTGGCCGACAGTGCAGGGGAAAAGAGTATAACGAACAGCTGTCAGCTGGCTCACAAAGGCCGCGTCTACACTACCAGTTAAATGTGACCCAATTCCGATTTGTTTCTCATATTTGTCACAGATCGGATCTGTTCTATGACCGTGTAAACACAAAAAAAACAACGGGTGCATTCAGATATTCAGAGATGGGTTTCAGGCCTTGTTCATATGTGGAAAAAATCAGATATGTGACAATGTGACGTTTGTATAAACAGGCAGATTGGATTTATTGCGGCAGTCCGTTTTATGTTATTTAATGCCGAGTTCAGACTGCAAGATTTTCAAAGTAGTCGTGTCACAGATGTTTTCACACTGCTTGACTATCTAGCGTTTCGTCGCTGCTTTGTTTACACTGCAAGATGGATCGGCGACAGGGACTTTCACATTACATGACTTTACAATAGGAAGAATCGCCGACAACTTCGTCCAAACTACGTCTCACAGCCAAAAACACGTAGTATATCTTTTGTTTTTAACTACATAATGAGAAAGAAGCCTTTAATGGGGTAGAACATGAACATATTTGCTCACCTGAGTTTAAAGGGAATTAGCCATTTCTCCTCAACGTTAATAATAAACTAATTTCTTTCTGTATGAAACGTCAAACAGACACGGTTGCTCCTGAGTCCTGTCAAACCTCCACTGGTTTTTCCTTCATTTCGTGGGTCAAAATAAACCGAAAGAGAGCACCTTTAACTTCTCCCTCAGCCTCCCGCTGGCCTGCAGCAGGTATACACACACGCACACACACACACAAGTGAATGCCGCTCTCTCATTGGCTGTGGGCGATCGCTGATGTTATTTTCAGTCAAAACTCAATTCACACAGCATGATTTAAATCGCCGACAGCTCCAGATATTCAGCATACCAAATATCGCAGGCATCGGCGACTCATCGGCGATTCTCTCAGATCGCGTCTTTGATCGTTCATACTGTGTGATTGTCACTCACGTGCACAAGCAGCGATTTGCCTGTGATTTCAGGCATTTGTCGGCGATTTCTCAAAACCTGTTGTCGAGCCAAAATCGGGGCTAAAATCACGCAGTCTGAACTCAGCATAACTTTGTGGTGCTTCGACGTAGGTTTATTGACGTAGAAGAAAGAGCGTGTGTGGAGACGCCGATGCGAAAAACAACAGAGGAGACACGGAGGAGGAAAGAAGTCAGTCGCCACAAGTTGCTCCCACCCGACTTGAGATCTCTCTCGTACCCACAAATTCCTCTGAATGGTGGAGGACACCATATATAAACCATCGTTGCAAACTGCGATGACGGCCCTTTCCCACCTCCTCCTCAAATTCATATTAAAGTTGGGCGAACTTCGTGTCGTAACTTTACATAATTTATTGTAATCATTTATTTAATATTTATTTATATTAAATAACTTAATATAATTTGAGGTAAATGTGCAACAATCTCATTTGAGCTTTTATAAATATGCTCATATCAATCCTAAAACTATGAGATAAAATGAAAGAGGAGTCTTCGTTTTACCAAGTCATCTTATTAGGAGAGTGTTGATGTACCTGGTCCCCTCTCTTTGCAAGGGTGTCAAAGTCTGGAGTCTGCTACGGCAAAAACGCGAGGCGCAGCAGGCGGTTAAAATGCGAGGCGCACCGTTAAAAACCTTGCGGCCGTTAGTAAACCATTCAAAAGAGGCGCCTCTTAGCGCATAAAGCGCGTTCGGTGTGATCGGCCCCTTAGGTTGTAATCTTTAAAAACAGCAATACTTACTTGACATATTAGACAAACCGCTTTGTGTCCGATATTGGTGAAGAAGTATTTTGTTGTTCATTCTTCCTTAAACACACGACATTCAGAGTCAATTTTTGTTTTGCCTGACTCATTAACAGTCGAGTGCATTTTAATATTCGAGAGTGTGTTCTAATTCTACTGGTTGCGCTAACTGTACCGCGTGCAATACTGCCATCACATGGCGTTCACTTGTATTGCATCATTAATTTACTAATTCTGAAACCAAACCGTTACTCGAAAGCAGCATTTTTAAAACTCGATGAAAGTGTTCAGCGGGCCGCATATGGCCCACCTCTGGTATATACTCTATTAAACTAGTATTTGAAAGTGTGTAACAATATTTGAAAGAGATTTAGAGTTGTTAACTCCTTGATTTATTTATTCGTCACTTTAGAGCTGGTGATGCTGAAAGAGGAGAATGAAATACAGAATGAAACGGAAGAAAAACCTTTCTTCTCGTCTGAAGAAGAGTCCACAAAACCTGAGCAGACATCATCGGAAAACCGAAGTCAGGAGACCGAGTCGGACAGCTTCTTCATTTGCAGTCACTGCGGACAGACTTTCAATTCAAAGCGGAGCCTTGAAGTCCACACGAAAGTTCACACCGAGGAGAAGCCTTACAGCTGCCAGCAGTGCGGGAAGAGATTCGTTCAAGAGCGAAGCCTGAAGCCCCACATGAAAGTGCACAACGGAGAAAAGCCTTACACCTGCAGAGAGTGTGGGAAGAGTTTTGCCCAGATTCAAAACCTTCAGACCCACATGAGGATTCACACCGGAGAGAAGCCCTTCAGCTGCCAGCAATGTGGAAAGAGCTTCACTCAGATCCAGAACCTCAACGTCCACATGAGAGTTCACACCGGAAACATGCCTTACACCTGCGCGCAGTGCGGCCAGTGCTTCACGCACAAGGGAAACCTCAACGCGCACGTGAGGATTCACACCGGAGAGAAGCCCTTCACCTGTCCGCAGTGTGGAAAGAGCTTCACTCAAAAGCGAAACCTCACGGTCCACATGAGGACTCACACTGGGGAGAAGCCGTTCACGTGCTCTCAGTGTGGACAGAGCTTCACACACAAAGCGAGTCTCGTTACACACATGAGGAATCACTCTGACGAGAAGCCTCTCGCCGGTCTGCAGAGAGACATTAAGCCATTTGAAGACTCTGACCAAGAAGAAAAAAATCTGTCTGAGGGATTATCAACGGAACAGATATAGATATAGATGTGTGCGCGTGCGCATTTGTGAGACTCTTATCTCACGATTTAAAAAAAATATATCGCCATTAATCTATTCTCAAAGTTGGGCTGGGCGCTGTGTCTGTTCTACGCAGATTATGATGACTTTCACCTTAAAGGGTCACGAAACACCAAAACACATGTTTTGAGCTGTTGACAGTCGTATTTGTGTCCCACACTGCTAAAAACATTATTAGGACACCTATATTTCACTAAAAAGTGTAAATTGGTTGTTTTTGCGTTATTTCAAGCAAATTCGTACTTCCGGTTTGAAACGAATTTTTGAAGCTGCGTCACGGTCATGACATAATAGCGTGTATTCCAGCGTGCAGACTGGACGTCTGTGCCAGAGTGAGTCTTATTACGTCTTACAGTGTGATGCATTAATGCACGAGTAAAGCTTGGTTCAAACCAATCAGCGCGCTCTATTGTGCAACTTCATTAATATTCATTACTGTCAGAGTGTTTACACGACAGAGACGCCACGTTGTGTTGGCAAAACAAGCGTGAAGTGTTGCTTTTATAGTTTGCTGCAGTTTTGTTTTCATTTTCTCTCTGTGAGAGCGCAGCTGGAGTCACGTGTGGATTAACAGTGTACGCGACGCTCGACAACAATAACTTACGTGTCTAAGGAGGATTATTGTTTACCTGAGAGCTGTTCTCATCTGCAAACGCTGAGATCCGGATTCGCTTGTAGTCTCCTCTTAATAAAGACGCGGCTCTAGTTGCTGGTGATTGTCCTGTCTCTACAGATTTGGTAAGTGAGCGACCAGTGCTCTTTGTTTATTCAGTTTGCTCGTATCTAACAAACTATTGCACCGAGTGTAAACATGTTAGCACCAAAACCAAACTTTAACCTCGTGTAGGGTTTTTACCGCATTTAGTGACCGGAATAACACACGCGGCTTTCTGACACTACCTGCCGTGTGCATCTAAGTTTGCGGGAAATGCTGAGGGTTTTTTTTCTCTCATTCGCCGTGCGGTATCAAACATTGCATGAAAAATACACGCTTACAGCAGTTCCTCCAATCAAATATCTCGTTTGTCGCGAGGGGCATGAATAAATTCCCTGAACGAAAGAGCCAAACTGCAGTTAAAGTTCACCATTTAATAATTTGGCAAATAATTCGACTACAGATGTCCATGTAGGTTAAACACCATCACTTGTGTGTGTGTGTGTGTGTGTGTGTTTTGACTCTGAACCTCGCGCGTGCCCAAATAGACACTCCCACACCATCCCACTTTTCTTCCTCTGACACTCCCCCCTAAACAGAGCTGGACACGCCCACTTTTCTGACTTTTTCCAAAGTAGAAGTATGAAAACACCCTGCTGAAACGAGGGGGTTTCATGGCCCTTTAATATATTAAAGCGGATGGACGTATACCTGGCCGCTGAGCCGTCTGACGAAATCCCTTCTGATCAAATCAGCAGGATGCCTGACTTTAACGGCTGTTTCACTTTCACTCACGAATATTTCATTCATGCCCCTGTGACAAACTGGGGTATTAGACGCAAATAAGGAGTAAGGACGGGTGAGAGTGTTATGGAATTTATTAACGCACGATAAATGGAAAGAAAAAAACTCCCGCATTTCACGATGTGTGTGTGTGTGTATGTGCGGTCCTTTACTGATAGCGGCGTGTGTGGATCTTGTCAGAAAATATTGTGAAAAGTCCTACATGACGGCAGTGGCGGTTCTAGACCAGAGTAACTGCGGGGCCGGGCAGGGGCCACTTGTACTTTTATGGGGCACACTTTAACATAAATCACAAACTACTTTAAAGTCATTTTTTTATGCATCATTCTTCATAAACATCCATTCATTCATTTTCTTTTCGGCTTAGTCCCTTTATTAATCAGGGGTCGCCGCAGCGGAATGAACCCCCAACTTATCCAGCAGCAGATGGCCTTCCAGCTGCAACCCATCACTGGGATCTCCCATACCCACTCATACACCACAGACAATTTAGCTTACCCAATTCACCTATAGCACATGTTTTTGGACTTGGGAAACCGGAGCACCCGGAGGAAACCTACACCAACACAGGGAGAGCATGCAAACTCCACACAGAAATGCCAACTGACCTAGCTGTGGCTCGAATCAGTGACCTTCTTGCTGTGAGGCCACCCTGCTGCCCTCTCTTCATAAATAAGCTAATTAAAGAACTTAAACTAAAAAAATCTTCCATGCTCATTATTTTCGTAAGCTAGCTCTCTCACACGGTCGCCCACTGAAGCTAAGCAGGGCTGCGCCCGGTCA